TTGTCTGCATGGTAACATCGGCTCAGTTACGTTGTCTGCATGGTAACATCGGCTCTGTTACGGTGTATGCATGGTAACATCGGCTCTGTTACGTTGTCTGCATGGTAACATCGGCGCTGTTACGGTGGCATGGTAACATGTCTCCCTTACGATGTCGGCTTGGTAACATCGGATTGTTACTGACGTCTACAGAACAAACTGGACAACTGTCTTCCTCGTCATCTACATATACATAATAATTACAATAAGCTACTTTATTATCACCCTAAAGAAAATAGAGTTCTCTTGGTAGGTGATAAAATAGGTATTTGTTAGAATGAAATCACACAAATGAAAATTAAATAATACCCAACAAATAAAATGTTACTTAAATACTGCAAAAACAGTTTTGAAGTTCAGCATTGTTTCTCACATGTTAGTTTTTTCTATATGTACTGTTGTGTATTTTATCACTATCACATTTTTCATTAAATGTAGACCAGAAGCATTCATAATTGCATAACAGAAGCACTTCGCTTCGGAGGGCGCTATTATTATAAATGAGTACTACCATTAACCCGTGGATGTAATACATATATCTGAAATCAATGAATTTATTTGGAGTCCGAATTTTGAGTAAATGATTTGTTAAAGCGCGGTAGTCGTCGCGCTGCACATGTTCGACATTTGTGTTGATAAACATTGATTTTCCCACAATCCAATGCGCTCTTCAAATGGAATCACAAGTACATGTATGAGGTTTGACCTGGGCGCGACTTGCACTGATTACCGCCGCGCCGGTGACTCCTTCAATACCTTCCAATCACATGAAAATTACCTAATTAAAGCTTGGAAACGTGTCAGTTCGTACTCGTTGATCTGCGCAACAGTCAAAGTCGCCATCTTTGTTTATATGAGACCCATATATCTCGCACATGCGCAGCGCGACGACTACCGCGCTTTAATGTTCAACGAACTTAAAGTGGCATGTTGGTTATATTCTTGTTAGTTTTTAAAATTCAGTGTCTAAATATGTGTTGGGAAAAGTAACCAATGTTTTCAGTTACATTAAAAAAGCGTGATATTTTTCAACTCAACATTGACCAAATCAATAAATATATGTTGATTCTTTTTGTTTTTGCATATACATACTTTGTATGTTGGTATAACGCCCTCAGTGGCAACTAATAACAGGTGTAGTATGGCGATGCGTTCAACTATTTAATAATGTCACATTTCTATATGGTCGAATAAGTGTTAACAGAAGTTTTGCAATTCAAACGTTAATTTGTAAATGTTCCTGTGTATACAATTTAATAAAATGTTTTTACACCTGTAACTGATGTTATCTTAATTTTACTTATGGTATAGTCAGTCACGGTCACGTGAGTATCGGTATAGTCAGTCACGGTCACGTGAGTATCGGTATAGTCAGTCACGGTCACGTGAGTATCGGTATAGTCAGTCACGGTCACGTGAGTATCGGTGCAAAGAAAAATAGAGATTAAATTTATAGTTATATATTTAACACGCCATCACAATAATTGGTGAAGAATGTTGTGATTAGAATTGCGTCACCGATCTTACTCAGTACATGCGGAATTTGTAAGGCATGGCATGTACGAACTGGATTGCGTGGCCTTTCTCCTTATATCCTCTCATCATACCATAGTATTTTTTGTATATCCCTTTTCTGTAAGTAGCGTCCTGTTTCTAGAGGGTGCAATACAGGTAATAGTACAAGAATTGTTACATCATCGTATAACTGACGTTCGCTCCTTTCACTCAATTAAAATTGCATCCACACTCTGTGTGGCCCATCGAAAATTTCACTGACAACTTTTCCGACTTTCGACACTATCGCCTACAAACATTTTCATATTAATAATCAACAGAAAACTTTCGTGACTTCCATATTTTCAACTATAAATGTAATTCTAACACTTTTCAAACAACAAATTTTCCGATATTTATTTATACGAATTTGTCACCTTCGCAAAATTTCTACCGGACAACCAACTTTACTGCCTTCAATACACAGTTTTCAACATTCGCAAGCTACTTTTTGGACGTCTCTGTCAATTCTGCTTTGATCTCCAAACCAGATATTATAGCCAACTTTCCAGACTTACAATTCAACATTTCCTCATTTCATAACAATGGTTTCCTAAACTATATTTCAGCTAGACAACTTTCGCGATTCCCTCGAAAAAAAAGAAAACATTCTCGACATACTAGCATACTATACCCACAATCACTTTTTTTTTGTTTACAAACTTTTCCGAATACGATGTTCATAAATCTTATTCAGTTTTCCGTCGTCCAAGACACCTCTCCCGTCCTTTGAATATATTTTCCAGTCTTTACAAAATATGTATTGGCTCATAAGGACCAAGTTCAGACAATTATTCGGACTTAATGTCATTTCATTTGTTCAACACAATTTTTTCATAATCGCAGATTCATCTTCGGACAACTCAATGTTTTCCTCTTCGCAAAATTCGTTCGTCAGTCAAGACAACTTTTACGCCTAATATACCGGTTCCAGACAACGGTCACGAATTTAATACTTTCTCGTCGGTCGTCAGGAAAACTTTTTCATGCAAACGACTTTTGGGTTTTTCCAGACATTTCCAGACGTCAACATTTCCATCATTAAAGACGGCATACAAGACTTTCCATGCAACTTTCCCTGTTCTTTTACAAAAGACTTTCTCATCATAACTATTGTTCGAACATTCTATATATCACTTCCCTGAGTTCCACTGATGAAAACAATATCTTTTACTTCCAATAAAACATTCCAACGTTTCAACAAACGCATTTTTTCAAATATCTTTTCCACCTCTGTCTCCATGCTATTGTTAATTGTTGTACCCGCAGTGCCACCTGGCTTTTAACCGTAATCTTATCACAATTGTCGATGATATTTGGCATTTGGAATAAAACTGAACCTTGTTTAAAAAACATTTGAGTTCAGACAAAGTAGCACAATTTATTTTAGCCGTTATTTTTCTCAAAGGTTAACAAAGGAACATTATACACTCAAACTTTATGTAGCAATGAGACCCTGGAGTTGATTGTTATAATATTGGTATAACCCTCGTTACTTGTGCTAGATTCATCCTAACTGATTAACGATTCAGAGTCGTCAAGTATTACCTCAGATCAACTATGGTAGGATGGAAACACCTCAAATGTTACATGAAGTTAATAATATTTGAAAAAAATAATTGATTTAAGTGTTGACAGTTCATTCACTACATGTACTAATGCTGTCAATACTTGACAATGTGAATAATACATGTTTAAGCATGTTTAGATAATTTTGTTTGATATTGCATCTTGATAATAAAAATAATACTTTGGCTGCAGAACATATTTGTCCAATGTTATTAAGCTGCAAATAAACATTATTACATCACTTTAAATAAATCTAATCTATTTATAAATGTTGAAGATAAAGTATGAATTTCATAAACTCATAAAAATAACATTTCTGGAAAGTTTGTTTCCTCTATTCTAAATTAACCAAAATAAATTGAATATACCATTTTATTATTGTCCTCATAAACAGGAGATAGCATGTTGTTGTTTACAGATAAGCTTTTACCCATGAATCTTTGCATTTTTACATCTATTTGAAAACTCATGTCAAAGTGTTTATTGTGTTTACTGTAACAAGTTTCGAATAGGTGGTATTTAAAACGGGCAGCTAATTTAGCAGTCCAACTGGTTTATCGATGCAAAAACATCTAAATTTTCAAATTCTGCAGTTGTAGATTGAATAGTTTGTTGATAGACTATTTTAAAACAAATTGTTGTGAGATGCACATATTGACAATGTGATTATTTGGACTGATATAATGAAGAACCATTGTACCTTATATTAAACAGTAGTACATCATGATTTAGAGGTTGACATTACAAACTATGAAAGAGGAAGAATAACTGTGTGAATTGTAATTTTTTTTTACTTAATTTTGGAGTGTTTTTTTTTCAGGAGAATGTTGCTAAAGATTTGTTTTTCCAATGTATGTGGTTTTTCAAATATTTTTTTTTCGGTAATTTTACCTGTAGATTTTTTCTCTGTAAAGTCATTTTTTTTCAAATTTGCTCAACTCGGAGTTTCTAATTCCTTAACAGTGTCATTAACATTCCAAAATAATAATTTTCATAAATTCTGTTGTGAAAATTGGGTGACATACACTACATGTTCAGGGAGTATATGGAGTCTTTATACACATGTTTCATTCAAGAGATAATCACACATTTCACATGATATTGCAGACTTCTTATTAACAAAAGTGCACTTTGAACAGATTTTATCACCAGATGCAGAATCCGATTTGGATTTGACTACTGTCTTACTTTTGGCACATTCTTTACAGACATGATCATTTTTCGTATTACTTGTGGTACAGTGAATGCAGATCCACATAGAGCTCCTAGTAACAACAGCTTCAGTTCTTCTCCCCTCTGCGGAAACTTTCTTAGCATTAGCATCACTACTTGATGTCTTCCTCAAATTATACTTTTCTGAATAATCTAAATACTTTCCCATAGGCATGTCTGACTGTACCTCATCTGGTAAAGCAGTACTATACTGTTGGGTTGCAGGGATTCTTTTAGTGGCTTGCAGCATATGTAGCTTCTCCACGGGAGCATTCTTTATGACTGCAAGTGAAGAATTCTTTGTTCTTACAGGAGGGATGGGTACTTTATTCACAGCAAGGAAACTAGCTTCAATGTGCTCATCTAGGGGATTGCAAGGAATGTCAGAGATGGGACTGACCACTGTATTGTAACCAGGACTGTATAAATCTTCATAATCACATGTGTTTTCCACATGAAGACAACTCTCATCATCATATGCTTTACAAGCCTCCCATTCAATGTTTGTTACCATACTGGACGTTTCAGGAACCATGCGATCAACCATTTGTGCTACACACTCATCAGGTGAGCCCAAGTAGGTACTGCGAGCCACATACACCTGTTTCAGTGAAAAGTTAAATGATTTTGCCACATCGTATATTCGACCAATGAAAATACACTCCTTGGAAGCAATAGACATGTCCACTGCTATTTCCAGCAAGGTATCGCGATCAGCTATGTTTTTCAGCTTCCATACACCCTGTTTGCTTCGCTTATAACCCATTCTCTCAAAAATTCTGTTGGTATCATCCAAATATTGGCTGATTTTACTTCTAAAAAATCCTGTATTTTCCTAAAAATAAATAAATATTAAGAAGAAAGTCATGAACTTACACTGTAATACACGCATCATTATATTACAACGAAATTGTATTTATTGTATAATGGATCATTTTAATACGATTGTATATAATTTGGTTTTACCATAGACACAACTACGCACTAATAATAGAATAAAAATACATATAAATACAGAAAATAACATAATTTGTGACGATAAATCACTTATCATAACCATTTATTTACATCCATAATGAGCACAGCTGAACAAAGAAAAAATAGTAGAGCTAGCAGACGCACAGTTATGACATATATCCCATTACTATGACACTCGTGTTTTTTTCTAAAAGGCAACTAAAGTTACCCCAGACCATTT